TTTTTTGGTACTGGGGATCGAACTCGGGTCCTTGTGCTTGGGAGGCAGGTACCAGAACCACTGAGCTAAATTCCCAGCCCGCTAATATACTTTTTTTAAGGGGAAGCAGACAGAGGGAAGCAGAAGGGGAGGGCAGAGGAGAAAGAAAAATGAATGGATATAAATTATCTAACTTACTTTGGAATTTTAGTTTGGAATCTGCTATTGACTGGAATTCTACCTCTGGGATCCAGTTCAATTCCAAGTTCTTCTAGTCCCAAATTCTGAGTGAATGGTCGTCGACCAATGCAAACCAAGAGTACATCACAAGTGATGACTTCAGCTTTCCCACCAGATGCAGCTTCAATACTAGACAATGAACAGTGTATAACCATTAAACACAAAGGTACAAAGAGAAGAGATATTTAAAACCAGAGATCTCTCAAGTATTGATGACCTTTCGGATAACCTATGTTTATTTTATTAAAAATATAAAAAAGTATGAAAAAAGTACACATCTTCTAAAGTTTTATTACCAAAGTTTCATTAAAAAGGTAATATAGTTATTCAGAACACAGGCCTCAGAGCTGGGGATGTAGCTCAGGGCCTGCCTAGCACACATGACCTTCAGTTCCATCCTCATCACTAAAAAAGCCAAACAAAATCAATGCATAGGTCTCAAGATCCAAGTGCAAGTACTGGTTCTGTATTCACTATGTATGTAACTGGCCTCAGGTGAGTTATTTCATTAAATCATGTGGTACAGTGATGCCTCACTTCATGAACTTATTCTTTCCAAGATTCTAGTCACAAACTGAATTCATCATGAATCAAATCAATCCCCATAAGGTCAACTCTGAACTTAAACCATTGAATTGATTCTAGTTTGCAACTAGAATTGTGGAAAAAATTAAGTCTGTGAACCACAAACACACAATAAGACACACAATAAGCAATCTAATATTATCATTGATTTCCCCATGTAACTACTAAAAGCTGAGTTTTAGCTTTTCTGAATGTACACTACCAAAAGGAACATTACAACGAGAACACCAGGCTCATTTTACACCAGTACCGACTCAACCCATGAATTTCAATGCATTATTTGAGAAGCAATATTGAGCTATGTTATAACACTGTGCAAGTTATAAAAATCCTGTATAATATTTGTTAATCTGATTCTGAAAACTTGAGTGTAACATCTTGAAAACTTGAGTTTAACAACTCTTTCTAAAAGAAAGAGACAAAGATAACACACCCAAGGTAAACCACAGCATACTTACGAAACATCAATTTTTCCATCTGACTTCTTGGTGGCACCAGTAACCTTTGTGTTCAATTTAAACTTAAAGCCTTGCTTTTGAAGGATCCGCTGAAAGTTCTTAGATATCTCCATGTCAATACCAACCCCACCTACGTGACCCAAAAATTCAACTGCTGTCACATCTGCACCAAGTCTCTGCCAGACAGAGCCCTGAAAATGATTGAAAATCAATAATCATACAAATTAGTTCCATAACAAATGTTTACTAAACTGCCTTAACTTATTGTAAGATATTTTATTACCTAGTCTTTTTTTTTTGGTACCAGGGATTAAACTTGGGACCTTGCGCTTGCAAGGCAGGCAGCGGAACCATTGAGCTAAACCCCTGGCCCAGTAGTGCTTTATGACCTAATTTTATCTTATAAGATATTTTCTTTTGCTAATGCTTTTATCAGAAGTTCTGGGGTTTAAAATTAACCCTAGAGGGCCAGGGATTTTGCTCAATGGTGCTGCTACTGTCTCACAAGTGCAAGGTCCCGAGTTCAAACCCCAGTACAAAAACAACAACAACATAAAACCTCACTAAAATTAATGCTGGAGCAAATAGGTATAAGTTCATATATTCCCTTATTCATACAACATTTACCAATGTTACATGCTAGACATCATTTTTTAGTTTCTAGGCATATTAGTGAAAAACAAAAACAAATCCCTGCCTTTAGAGACTGTATATTCCAGTAGAGGAAATCAATCAATAAATTTAACTCATGCTAGAGGATAGCAAAGTACTACAAGAAAAAGTACAATGTAGAGCCAAGACTGACTTATTGAAAGAGGGATTACAATTTTTTTGTTTTGTTTTGAGACAGGGTCTCACTACATAGTTCAGGCTGGCCTTGAACTTATTTAGCCCAGGCTGGCCTCAAACTTGTGGTATCCTCCTGCCTCAGCCTCCCAGTGCTCGGATTACAGGCATGTGTCGCCATGCTTGGCTTCAGAGAGATTACAATTTTAAATACCATGATTGGGAAGGTCTCCATAAGAGTGGTATTTACCCGCAAATCTGAAAGGGTGAAGCACACAAGTATAGTAAACAACAGATAACCGTGCAAGAGTGTTCCAACCAGAAGGGAAAAATACTTTTACTGCTAATAATCAGCAAAGTCTGTAAAACAGTAAGCCAGCCTTGTGGTTTTTTTTCAACAAGAGAAATGTTTATATTTTATTCAAATTCAAATTTAAATCGAATGTTGGTCTTTAATTGTAACAATTAGCATAACTGCTGAACAATCATGAAAATATAAGATGAATAATTTTACAGCATTAAATATGAAAAACTAGGAACAGATCATTTGCCAAATCTAGTAATTTAAAATTATACCAGTTTACCTTTCCAACTAAATTATGTTTGTTCATTTCACATACCATGAACTTTAGGGATGAAAGCTGAGTTTTACAAGAGGTAATATATAGTCACTTAGTCAAAACAGATTATGGACCTAAAACCTGAAACGATAAAACTTGAAGAAGACACAGGAGACAATCTCTGTGACCTTAAATTAGGCAAAGACTTAGATATAACATTAAAAGCATAATCCGTAAAACCAACCCACAAAAAAATGATAAATTGGACTTCATCAAAATTTTAAAATCTTAGAACACTAAGAACACAAAAATAAAAGACACACACACCACCAGAAAAAAGCATTTATAAAACATCTATATGATAAAGGATTTATATCCAGAATACACAAATAACTCTCCAAACTCAACATAAAAACAAACCCAATAAAAACATACAAAATATGAGAAAAGACACTTCATCAAGATCATACAGAAATGGCAAACTAGCACATAAAGATTCTGAAGACTGTGACAGATGACTATGTACCCACTAGAGTGGCTCAAATTAAAAGGAGAGGAGTAAGCACTGGTAAGGAAGAGAAGGAACTGAAACTTACACTACTGGTGGGATTTTAAAAATGGTGCAGTCACTTTGGCAAACAGTGAGCCTCAAGAACTTATACAGTTACTTTGTGATGCAACAATTACCTTCCTAGGTATATACCAAAAGAAATGAAAACAGGTATCTACCTAAAAGCTTACATATGAATATTCAGTGTTTTTCATAATAGTCCCAAAGGAGAAATATCCAACTGTTTATCAACTTGATAGAGAGAACTTTTGTAAATTGTCTGAAACCTACAAAATGTTAAGGAAATATAAAATAACTATCTTTTGCTTCTCTACTTTGTTCTTCTTTGCTTATTTCTCAGAACAAAATACCTGAGGTTTTTAACCATTAAAGCTTAAAGGCACGTAGCCCCAGTTTAAAATTAACAGATACCGGAGGTGCTTAGCTGCATCCTAGGATGAGACCAGATGTTTAAACTAAGATAACAGCCACCAAGCTCTAAGCCCTAAAACCTTTCTGTAAATCCTATGACTATAAAGGAGTTAAGATGAAAGGAATGTCACCAGTCCTGCTTTCCTAACCCTGACTCCACCACTCTTATGGGCTGGAATAGCTAAACATCCTGAAAGAAAATGCTACATTTGGGTTAACAATGAACTGTCTTGTGACCATGATTTGTGATGGGAACTGTGGGAACTAGAATGTCTTATCACCTAAAATGAGGTCATGATTGTAAAACTCCTATAAATGGCAGACTGCAGCTCAGCCCAGGCTCTGTCATTTGGCACAACCCTTGGTGCAGGCTGACCCTTTGCTAGCAAAGTAAACATTTTTTTGTTTTACCCACTCCTGTTCTGTGGGTGTCATTTACCAGTTCCTTTACACAACAAACTAGTGGGTAAACAAAATATGGTAGGCCCAAAGAATGGAATATTTGGCTACAAAAAGAAATAAAGTACATGCTTAGATGAACCTTTAGAACATCCTAAGTGAAAGAACCCAAACACAACATGCTATGTATTTTATAATTTCATTTATATGAGATGTCCAGAATACAAAGTCCAGGGATAGAGAACGCTGATTAGTGTTTTGCAGGGTCCAGAAGGGAGAAGTGAAGACTTACTGTGAAAGGAAACCTGCCTTCTTTCTGAGGTGATGAATATGTCCTAGCATTAGACAGTGGTGACAGATGTCCAACTCTGAATTATGAACTAAAAGCCACCAAATTGTACATTTTAAAAATGAGACCACATGAGTAACATCTCAATAAAACTGTTTAAAAGTACATAGTAGTAACAGCAGCAGCAACCACACCCTTCTGAACCTGAATTAGAATAGCAAGAAACAGAATACAGAAATGGAAAGACACATTATCTTGGAGTCGTATCATTTAGTGCAGAAAATGGTCAACAGTAAAGTGCCCTAGTCGTTAGGCAAACTGATTTCAAAATCCTTAAAGACAGAAAACCTCCAATAATATCTACCACTTACATAGAAGCCAGGCATTGCATTATTTGAAATGTACTTATTAAACTGCAACAACTGTTACACTTATTTTTAAAAATAAACCAGCTAGTTCAGAAAGGCTGACTTAACGAGGACACAAAGTCAGTTCAGTAAGAGACACAACTGAAATTCAAATAAGTATGTCCCATTATAAAACATTCTCCCCCACATTCAGAAGATGGTAGGCAGCCGGGCGTGGTATCGCAAGCCTGTAATCCCAGCACTCGGATAGCTGTGAGTTTGAGACCAGCCTGGGCTACATAGTGAGTTCCAGGTCAGTCTCAACTACATTGAGACCCTGTGGTAGGCAGCCGGGCGTGGTATCGCAAGCCTGTAATCCCAGCACTCGGATAGCTGTGAGTTTGAGACCAGCCTGGGCTACATAGTGAGTTCCAGGTCAGTCTCAACTACATAGTGAGACCCTGTCTCAAAACAAACAAACAGAAGATAGTAGGCTACAGGCAGCCTGCATTCACTAGTCAGGCACATGGCTCTGTGGGGAGACAAGTATGTGACTATTACTGATGCCAACTCGGATGGATTAGAAAACACCTAGCACATTTGTGAAGCACACTATGTGGGGCTCAGGCATGGTACAGAGACATAACCCTGGGTGATTCAACATCCCTCACCAGTTCGCAGTGGCACTGTTTGCTCCCGTGCATAATATTTGCCCCACTGAGGTTCAGTCTTGCTTTGATCCAATTCTTCTCTATCCCTTTATTCTTTTTTTTGTAGCAGGAATCAATCTCCGGGCCTTGCACTTGCCAGGCAGGTGATACACTGCTAAGCTACATCCCCAGCCCCTCTTTATTCTTTTTGAAATGCGAATGTTTACCCTGTGCCACCGCACCTTAGGATTATGTAACTTGTTCTTTGCTCTTTGCAGAGACATAGTTAAGAGTTTGCCTAGAATCTCAAAGGGGACCTGGACTTTTTAAAAAATGCTGGAAATGGAGAGACTTTGGGGAAAGGGTGATTGTATTTCCAGTGGTACATGGTACAATTGTATTCTGTCAGGCTGAATTATGAACTCGCCATTGTCTTTACTTGGAGATCAAGTGTAGCTTGAGATGTGTTTGAGTGTGAAAAGTGATAAGGAGTGTACTGTGGCAGATCTGCAAAGCACGCTCTAGATGTGTCTGGGTGAGTCACGGCATGACCATGGGTACTACACATGGTCTCTAGCCAGGTTTTCTCTGGTGCTGTTCCCCTGCTCTGCTTCTTGGCTACCATGAACTACACAATTTTGCACTGCCACACCTTTCCACCTCCTGAAACTGTGTGCTACATTAAACCTCTTCACTTGTGGGTGCTGGATATGGTGTGGGGTTTGTTTTTCGATGGGGTGGTTCTGAGTTGGGGGCACTCCCAAACACAGATCCTGCACATGCCACCCCCTCCATTTCTGTCAGAGTAAATACAGCATGTGCAGACACTGGCCAGCCACACTTCCAAAAGCAGGGTTTGAAAATGGATGAAGCCTCACCCATGTTTAGGTCCTGCCCACCAATGATATGAGGGAGAGACTCTGCAGTGTCAATCTTCCAGCTACATGGCCAAAGGACCAAGGACAGGCCCTTAGTCTGATATTCACTAGAAGCACAATTTCTTTTCTTCTGAGGCCATTAGAAACTTAAAAAGTAGCTTTTGCTAAAAACCTAGTCTTCACTTGGGCCTACACATGCCCAAAAGGAAACTAGCAGAGGAATAGTTTTAATTTCATTTTGCATCCCTGTTAAGATTTTAGGTCAGATCTCTTCCCAGCTCCACATATAAGTATGTTAATCAGTAAGGGAATGTCTAAAAGTTGATAAAACAAGGTTGACTAGCTCTAAATTTACATAATCTCATCTCTTTTCAAGACAATAGCTAAACTGTGGAAAAAGCCTAGATGGCTGTCAGCAGAAGAGTGATAAAAGAAAATGTAGTACAGTAGAGGTACTTCAGCTAATGAACACTTTTGTTTGCAAACAATTTGGTTCACAAACAGAAGCATTTGGCAAAACTGGTTTCATTTTTGTTTTGTATGCATCAGGTGACATGACCACAGCCACTTTTCCTGCATAAACACAAATGCCACCATCTTTTCTAAAATCATAGAACAAATTAAATTTGTGAAACAAGGTACTACTGTACATATACACAGTGAATATTATTCAGCCATAAAGAAGAATGAAGTCATGTCATTTGCAGGAAAATAGATGGAACTCAAGACAAAAGCGAAACAAGCTCAGAAAGCTCATATTTTCTCCTACCTGGGAAACCTAAAATATAAATAAACAAATGAGTAAAATAAAGGAGAGTTGATAAGAAACTAGAAGGTAGATTTACTGAAATAGCAAAGGGCATCAAGGGAGACAGAGGAAATGGAACCAAAAATGATCAAGATATATATATGTACCAATTGTCCCAGAATGAGAACCCCTACTCAGTAATACAAACATGAAGGAAAAAAAGGCAACTAAACTGATCTTAAGGGATTCTATTAAAAGATATATAGCACATACTGAAAGTACCCTCAACTGTGTTTAGTTCCTAACAGCATTACCAGTGATCGTATCAAAAGGATGACAATAAAATAATGGATCTGGTATTTAAGTAACCAAAGTATTAAGTGCATGAATAAAACTCAGTTCCTGTCTTCAAGGCACTCAGTCTTGAAGGAATATCAAAAGTAATATAAAGGCACTGTAGCACTGGGGATTTAGCTCAGTGGCACTGTGCCTGCATCAGAAGTGCAAGGTCCCAAGTTCAATCCCCAGTACCACAAAAAGTAAATAAATGAATGCACTGATTTTTATTAGTATGTGCTATAAAAATATAGATTAAGGATTCAAAGAGGAAAGCAGAACTTTCTAAAAAAGAAGTCTTCACTAAAAAGGCAATTAAACTGATTTCTGAAAGATATTTATCAACAAACATTACTAACCAATAATAATGAAGGCTCACATGGAGTACAGTTTAATGAAATCACAGAGAACAAGATATACTGAGATAAATACTGTAAGAAATGAAGGTTCTGGATATAATGCAACACACAGTAGGAGTACCCCAGGACCCAAGGGTAGCCAGGGAAGGGCTCACGAGAGTACAAGGATGGAGAGAGGTTAATAAGTGTCCCAAACATAAGAAGGTCTACTAGTAAATAGGTAGAGCAGCAAGGCTTGCTCATTAACTGATACCCTGACATACCCAGCACATAGGCTGAAAGGGACTACAAACAAGGCTGGAGACAGAAACTGGTGCTATATCATGCTCATCTGTAAACAATACTAAGTTTGGGTTTACCGTAACAGTAATAGTACACTATTATTTCAAGGGGAAGGGACATGACTGAATTTACTACAGAAAGATCATTCCAGCCACTATGAGGAGAATGGACCAGAAAAAAAAAAATCCATTAAGACCTAGGGCAAGACATTACGCTGGCCTGAAGTAGTATCTAATCAAATGCATAAAGGGGAGTGAATATACTTGAAAGGTAACTATCAGGGAGATTCACATTAGAAACCAGTGACTGAGTATGGGACATGAGGATAGGACAACATCACATATAGCTCCTAAATATCTTGCCTCAGGCCTCTATTCAGAAGGCAGCACCACTCACTGAGATGGGAAATGTTACAAGAGAAACAGTAACAGGCTTAGTTCTGTTTGGGGAAGGGGAGGAAGAATGGGAATAGTGAGGATTTTGTGCCACACCTGCTTGGCAAGCACAAGGTCCTGAGTTCAATACCTGGTACCAAAAAAATGAAAAGTGAGGAGATACATTTACTGAATACGGTGGCTGCAAAATGCAAGTGAAGATACCGGTACGTTTGGATATGAAAATCCAGAGACATGGAGAGGATCAGGCTGTAGACATTGTGAGTCCTGTGGCAACTGAGGTGACAATGAAGAGGATATTCTGTGGAAAAATAGTCTAGAAAACGTGCTAACAGAATCCAGAGTAATATTCACAATGAAAGGGAAGGTTGAAGACTGGGGTTCTTGCTCAGTGATAGCGCCCTTGCACAGCATCCTAGAGGCCCTCCATTCAATCGCCAGTTATGCAAAAAAAAAAAAAAAGAAAGAAAAAAGGTGGGGGGGGGGCGGGGGGGAAGTTGGGG